GGGGTATTATGACATTTTAAAAGTTAAGGGGAGTTATCAAAGAAACCCTGAATGCTAAGTGGCTCTTTGTCCTCCTTGACCAAAGTGGCTAAGAGGCTATTGAGAGCTTGACAAATCATAGTATCACAAAACATCACTGTAAAATGTCGGATATCAATTCAGAAATATGGTCAGGATTTTCAAGGAACAAAACTGATTAAAAAATCAAAAACAAACTACTCAATGATGGTTCATATGGGAAGCAATACAAAATCAAGTTTGTATGCTTTAATAAATGCAAGAGGGAAAATAAATAAATAAATCCAACGGAATTTTCAACTTACTTTGAAACCTTTAGGAAGGGAAATTTTTGACTGGCCGTAGAAGTAGCCAATGCCACCCAGCAGATTCCCAAGAGCTGCCTTACCAGCAGCCATAGCTTCTGAATCAACCTGAACCGAAATCAAAATTCAGCGTGCATATGTGAGATGATAGAATTGTAACCCAATTAAAAAAGCATAATAATCCCAAAAATAAAAATAAAAAACTAATAACATTTGTTAAAATAGAGGGATTAAAAAATCCTGGGTAATAATTGATTCGTCTAACTCATAATAAGAAGACGAGCATTCTACAATATCTAATGTAGACCTCATGGTTCTTGGTAATGATATAATAGAAGTATGTTGACAATATACAAATATACAATACACATCTCTAGTAACCTAGGATAGAATTTAATTTTTCCATATCCATAGATGATATTCACGTGTAAATTAATTTAATAAAACAATAAATGGCCAGACACCAAAGCTAAATGGTCAGACAACAAAAGTTTAACTATAAGCAATGAGGTTAGGCATAAAGGTGCAAAACAGTCCGGAGATATTCGATCCGATCCGCAACCTTATCCGAAATGGATGCATATACGGTACCCAAGATTTGAAACCGGTCGGATATTAATACGGTTTCAGATATAGTTTCGGATTTTTGGTCAAATACAGATATTGGTTCAAAAATCGGATACGGCCCGATATCCAATTACATATACAGATTGGATATATACTTGGATATGAATTCAGATAAAGATTCGGATATGGATTCAGATATGAATTCCAATACGAGTACAGTTATAGATATGTATGTTACCAAGTTTTTTATACCAACCGCATGCCCTTTGGGATGTAGTCATATGTGTTTGGTATATTGGATCGTGCTTTTATTGACGTAATCAATTGTACATTTTAGACTTATTTATAGTTAAATTTATGTTACACTATAATTCTTTTTTTTCAATGAATATAATGAAAATGTGACGTCTAGAAGAAATTTTGCAGCATTTTGTGTTTCAATTCTCGTCTTCTCTTTTTTGTGAACAATTGCACGCAATTGTTGGTTCTCTGAGGTTTTCTTAGGTTAGTATGCTGAAATTTCGTGAGGTTTTACTATCCGAAACAACTATTTTTTAACTAATAACTTTTACTCTCCAATTAACATGATATTTTTGTCATGTCCGATTTATATCCGAGTCATGTCCATTTCCCAAATATCCGATTTGTATACGTGTTCGCTTCTCTAATATCCAAACCATCTCTCTTTCCATTTAATGTGCATACGGTTATGATTTTTTCTTACCAAAGAATAATCGGATCTCTTTTTAGAAAAGGGATATGGATATGGTTAGTGTCGTATCCAAACCGAATGCATGTCTAGCCAAGCACCAAAAGTCTGCACCTAATTTTAGAAGCTTGAACATGAATTATGGTAAGAGATTTTTAAATGCACTACCATCTTTAAGCAACGGAGACCATTAACCACTGATTACATCTCTTGACCTTCAACTTTTGGAAGACAAATAATCTTATTACCCTAGCAGGGATAACGGATCTATATTTACGAATTATTTGACTGGGCCTGCAATGAGGCCTATTTATGTTCTCAACATCTGATGCAAGGTAAAAGTTTGATTGACAAGGTGAACTCAGAATCTGAGACCAGAACTCTGTAGGAACGAAACAATTTTCTGTAAACAGGGAATAAAAGCAATTTTAATTGAAGTGCATACTTACAATCTTTCAAATCATTAATTTTTAAGACCCCAACTTTTTTCCAAGTAGATTATGAAATTATTCGAAGGACATAAGCCAAGAAAAAAACAGTAACAAAATAAACTGAAAATGAAGAACTCCTAGAGTCCCCTAACTAATTATTTAACTCATTTAACTTGGTATAAAATAAAGGACATTATGGCTAGAATCCTACCTGATAGACTAAATTTAACATGCCATGTGACCAAACTAGTGACATAATGCACCACGACCGTAGTCCCGCATCACCTATTACTAAGAATCAAACAAAGTTTGAACTAGAATTTGATCTGATAGATTGAGTTTGAAAATGTTATGTACCAAACTAGTGACAATGATCCACAGTCAGTTAGTCGTCTGCCATCTTCTCTCAAGACTATGTATCTAATTTGGGCCCATATGGGCCATATCAGACCTTTCTTTGAAGCAATGATCCGTAATAATAGATACAATGCCCAAAATGAGGCTTCCCAATACTATTGCTTGAGCACAACTGCTCCAGAGGATTCTGATGTTCATCCAGCATAATCCTATTGCGGCTTAATGCTTGAGTTGAATAAACTATGATACAGTAGGCATTCGTTCCATGATACAGATTATTTGGGATTATTCCTAATACTATTGCTCGAGAACAACCGCTGCAGAGATTTTCTGCTGTTCTTCCTGCATAAATCCTATTGCAGTTTATTTCTTGAGTTGAATAAACTATGAGATAGTAGGCACTCTTTCTATCACATACATCATTTGGGATTATTGACGTTTATGTTCATGACATACTAGTAGACTACCACTAGTAAAAAATCTCCCTTTAAAATTAAGCTATCATTAGTTCTTGAAGTTACGGAAACCGTTATATAAAGGCACCTTCATAGAACATAACCTACATACGACCATTCAGCTTTGATATAGCAATTCGTGAATGCACTTCATGCCTAAAACTCTACTGACCCTGCCAAGTCACTGACCTGCAATGGAAGGAGTCAAGAACTCTTACCTTTCAACTCAAATTTAAATAGATTATATGTATGCCCTTTTCATAATATGGAACTAGTCTTTCTGCATTAATTTATATATATGCTCTCAGTACATTGAACCTAACATGACTAGGAAATGCTCTTTACGGCATTCTGTGAGAAACCTGAGGGCTAAGTTGCAGGTGTGCAGAATTAGATATAGATGATAGTCCATAGACATATTATAGATAAAATGAATTTAGTAACACTAAATAAGTTAAATCTCATTATAAAGAACTGTAATAAAGCTCACCTTATCCTTTATATTAAAACATGTCAGATATTTTTCCTCGAACTCCTCTTGTTTCCTTTTTAATTGACTAGTCAACGCGGTACCTGAAATAAATTGGAAACAATTTGAGATGTTTGAGGAGTTCTGCAAACTAATTGAACAAAAAAATGCAAAGAATATGGAAAGGTTTACAGCATTTTGTTAATATGCTTCAAAAAATGAAAGAAAGGAATGTATCTCAAACATTATGGACAATATTAATATACTCTCGAGCGCATGTAGAAACAAAAACTGATATTAACACTATAACTTCTGCAACAAGTTGACCTTTGTGCAAACCAATGATGACTTCTTTATTGCCTCAACAAGGACCACTTTATAAGTCGCCATCACCTACAGATTTCAGGAAGCTACCATGCCACAGAAGTGCATAATCCTTAAATTTTCATAAGAGTTTGAGGCATCCGGTGTTGATTTTAATAACAGAACAGACTCAACTATTTCTTCAAGACTGCTTATTCTTTTATGTCTTTTTCGCCAAAGCATTTCAGGTTTCCACAAAATATCAAAACTACTTACCTTTGTTAACCTACTGCAGTGATCCAGGTCAGATCTCACAAGATGACATGGTTAAAAAAACAAACTACTACACTGACAGAAGTCCTGGGTTACAAATGGTACACTCAAGACTGACTCTAACCGTTGGCTGATTATCAAGAACTCAACAAGCTCTTGACTAATTATGTCATGTTAGAAGCCTTTATCAAAAAAATCAACATGCTATTTGCTAATTATCATCATGCTCACTAACCACTTACCCAAAAATTTGAGCTTACAGACAGACTTAATAAACGTATTCATGCTAGAACACATTTATAATAGATATTTTCTTCTAAAGTATCTGGTTTAACCAAAATACTGTTCTAGTAATAATAAAATTCAAAGTCCAATGTACAGGCAGCTCATACAAGAAGTTTTCATTGAAATGAAAGAAAATAGGGGAAAAAGAAGGCAAGTCCCTCAAGGTTTTAAATATCGGCCGACATGTCCGACATGTCGGTTTGAAGGCTTGAGCGACACGGCATGGGCGTTTTCAACTCGTATGTCGGTTTTCAGGGCCAAATCGGAAATATCGAGGTCATATCGGGCATATCGGCTAATTTTTTAGCTTTGAAAATCAGCCGATATGGCTCTTTTTTAGATCTATTTTTGGTTATCAAGTTTGGGTTTAGTGATAAAAACCCAAACCCGTTTGACCCGTTCTCATGTTTAAGGGTTTCTTATGAACCCGATAGAAAGAAAAGAAAAAAATTAGGGTTGTGGCGGACTTGAGAACCCATCACTCCTTTCGTGAACGACAACGCCCTTCCCCAACCTCCATCTTGGCTCCCCGTCGTCCATCTCCCGTTACGCCTCGAAATCTGAACCCTAACTGAATCCGAAGGCGGCAGTCTATCCTGTCGTCGGAATAAAGGGAAGAGGGTGGTCGGTGACTCATCCGAAGGACCCCGAGCAGATGAAGAAGAAGAACCCTGATACTGCCTCCCTGTGACGTCCCGTCGCCGGCACTGCCTCCCTGTGACGTCAGAATCCACCTATCGCCGGCCTTGCCTCTAGAATTTATAAAATATGCTTATATTAAATTTAGAAATGCTTAGATTATATTTAGGACATGATATTATACATATGCGCACCACCCGATATAGCAATCCGATATTTAGTCTATGTCCCCCGATATATCCCCGATTTCCGCTATCCGACATGAATTTCATCCGTTCGACATGAACCCGACATCCGACATTTAAAACTTTATGTCTCTGAGAAGATCATTCTCTCTTGGCACTTGCCAGTGATTCCAGTTGACACACACCTTCTAGCTAGGCCAAAGTCTAGAAAGACTTGATTAATTCTTTTAGGCACACTAGAAGGATATGATACATGGCTAAGACTGCAATACAGCAGACCCAAAAACATTAACATGACTAAATTCTTTAAGTAACATCTTACAATTCTAAACAAAATACATAGCCCATTAATCAACCTGGATACAGAATATGTTATTTACTATACCACTGGTTTCAGATACACATTAGAACATAATTAATAGGTTGAATTGTCATGTGACACTAACTATAAAGATACCAGGTTATATTTTCTATAGTAAGTACCAGCATTAATCCTTTATCAATTGTCATATACCACTTTTACTGCTCACAACTATATGTTTGTCAACATAGCTCTTAAAACAAACTTTCAGATGTAATAAAAAACCAAGGCACAAAACTTCCTCTCAGAAGGTCAAATCAGCATATTTTAATTCTTTTTTCACCTTGAAAACACTACAAACATGCACACACATGCAGGCACACGCACACATAGATTGATATATTAGCCATTGTTATCGAGGCGCAAAGCGCAATGCGGGGCGCAAAGCGCCCCTTACGCGCACCATGCGCAAGGCGCACAACGATGCACGCGCCTCACTGAATTGAGGCACACAACTCAAACTAATATTTTCCAACATAAGACAAAGAAGCATATAAGCAACATGTTTATAAATTATCACATTAAAAGACCAAGAAATATAATTTCACCTACTAAATCACAAAAGAGTCTTAATTAGCATGCATAACATAAAGAAGTTCATAAGTTTTCACAAATCATAATGCAAGATAATCTCCAACAAAAGCAAAAGTCTATGAAACAAAACAAGCAAGTAACAAATAAAAAATATGTATTTTTATTTAAAATATGATATATGTATTTTTAAGTAACAATTAAGTAATTAAAAAACATGATTGTTCATAATTTTCTAGTTAGTATTCTTAATTGCTATTTGCTAGTTAGCATGAAAAGATGAAGAATGGGGGTAACAATTACATATTTATATGTTCATAATTTTCTTGTTAGCATGCTAATTAGAGAAGGAAGTTACAATTAGCAAACAAGTATACTAAATTACTAATTACTGTTTTCTTTTTATAAGTTAAACATGAAAAGAAGGAGAACGGATTAACAACTAGCAAGAAAGAGTATTACATGATGTAAATATGTAATATGTAAATTATTTTAAAAAACAGAAGAAAGAGTCTACATGACACAGGTATCAAGCGCAAACGAGGCGCACGCGGGGTGCGCGAGAGGCGTACACGAGGCGCACGCGAGGCGCATGCCTCGTGCGAGTGCAGCGCCCCGCCTCTGGTGCAGGGCGCAATTGTCCCAGCCCACAGCGCCCCGCGCCCAGGGTGCGCCCGAGGCGCGCACCTCGATAACAATGATATTAGCTATATATGATTCACTGATAATCAGTGTGCAATGCAGAAATCATATATTTAACGTATATTAAATGCTTTAATACTACTACTCTGCAGAATGATGTCTTCATCCTAGGAGTTTAAGACAGTAGTGTCGTTTCACTACATAGGACTGTGAGGCACAGTTTCAAACATTTGATACAAATCATCAGCTAAGAGTCTTAACCCTCTGATGAACCTTGAATTCAATACTTTTTGCATCTTTAATCTAATGTTTTTTAGCCTTGCGATTTAGAGGCAGAGTCAATGTACATGTCCAAATCTTGAGTTACAAGAGCCTAATAATGTTACTAAATTGTGAAGGTGGTGAAATGGCCCATAGAGACCCTACTTTCAATCCCTACTAAAAGATTGTGCACTTCAAGTAAATTATAGTAAGATCTTATTACATGCCAAACCCAGCAGTTAGGCGCGAATATAATTAGCAAAATCTCATGCAACAAGTCAATCCATAAAGGAAAAGGGTATATTTACCCCTTAAATCATCAATATTTGCAAAACTACCTCCAAATCTTAAGTCTTTGCAAAACTATCCCTCAAATCATCCACATTGGTAAAAACTGCCCCACTTATTCTATTACGGAATATACTAGGTATGTTCCTTTTAGTTGTGTTAAAAAATTAACTGACTAAATTACCCTTGTTAGCTAATTGTTTCCGGAGTACAATCTTAAAATTAAAAATTTTCTCAACTCAATTCTACTTTTTTAGACCCCATCTAATCTGTGTCCTCTTTCTTTCCCATTTCTCTTCTCAGCTGTTACTCCAACGTCAGCCCATCCTCTTCTCCAATTGTAATTGCCATGGAGTTCTCATAATGATGCATTTTCATTCCCCCCCCCTGTTATGATGTATTTCGAAGAGAGTTGTGTAATTCTTTATGATTATCAATGCGATTTGTGTTGAACAAGTTTCTGCTATTTGCTTGGCAAGATTTTTATTTTTTCAAGTTTGTGAGTGTTATGTGTTTGTGTGAGTTGCTAGAAGTGATGCAGAGCTAAAAAGTTGATGATTGAACACAGGAAATGTATGCATGTAACATGTTTGCCAATTTACCTAAATGAAACAAAGATTAAATGCATCCCAAATTGAATTCATGAAGTGTTTGACAAATTGTCTCTAAAGAAATTGCGACACAAACCAGCGGCAGTTCCCAATTTCATGGAACAGAGGCATACAAGCCTCAAACATCTAACCAAGCTAGTTCAACATTTTCCCAGTGGAACTCGTATTTTCTTAGGCGATCCAATTGGGCGAGAGTTAAGGTAGGCGATAGAGCTTGCCCAAGGCAAGTAAGAGAGGGCCACAAGGAAAGCCAGCAGGAGCTAAGAAGGATAATGAGGATTGGAAACAGAGGGCGGTGAGATTAGAGCTGAGCAGCAAACGATTTGGGGAAGGGTCATATGATGGGGTGTTTTATTTGGTATGGTTCTTTTGAAAAAGGGCAAAAGGGTAAAAACTACACAAAATCCATTTGATTATTAACACTGTTAAGTTTGATGGGTAGTTTTTTCTAATGTGGATGATTTGGAGGGCAGTTTTGCAAATATCCAGATTTGAAGTAGTTTTCCAATTAATGATGATTTATGGGGTAAATGTACAAATAACCCGAAGAAAAATTTAATGTTACTAAACTGATAAATTAGTAAAACAATGTACAGGAATCAGTTTTAACAAAGATTACATTTTAATTCCAACTGGAAGGAAGTACCTTCAGCTAACTGTGCAAGACCGTAGGATTTATTGTATGCAAATATAAGCACAATGATAATTGAAAACTGATGCATGAGTCAATCTTCAAAGGAAGTCTGTTCACAATATTTCAGACATTATATATATACACAAATTAGTCAGTATTGAATAAAACAATAGCATACGCACCAGTGAGACTATCAACACGTTCTTCAATCCTTGAACTCTTCGAGTTTGTTCCGGAAACAAAAGCAATATCTAGGGATGATGGAAGCTTTGCAGATATCTAGAGAACACACCACGAATTAGCAGATATATTTACTTGACAAAAGATTGGTTTGAGAAGAGTAAACAAAAGGATCAAGTACTTAGTAAACCAGATACAACAAAATAAAGAGTCAACTACAGTTTGAGTATGTATAGTTTTTTACATGATCGAGTGTGATTCTTTGTTCGCAAATACAAATGTGTAAAGAAGCAATAACTGAAAAATAACCTGAAAAATAAGTATGTTAGAAGACTCTTCAGATGCATCAGGTAGTTGTAGCTGCCCAGTCCGTCTTCCCTATATACAACCAACAAAGTACAGAAAACCATAATAAAGGTAAGCAACATTCAAATTGCAATAACATTATAGAGAAAAAAAATTAGTGCAATCCAGCAGCATTGTGACCCCACATCTGCGTAGGTGATAGCATAAACATACATAGACCGCAAGAGTCCCTTGCACTAGCTCTGTCAAATTATGCATGTGCCTAGTTCTGAAACCAGCATGGTGCGCTTCCAAATTGTCCTGCAAAAAAGAACAAACCCAGTACATTTTTGCTTTTTCATTTTTAGGAGGAAGCATGTATAAACAAGATAGCATATATAAAATTTGAAGATAAACTGTTGTACAAAATTATGTATGTGAAAAGATACCAAACTCACATGACCTTGACCAAAATTGTCCTTATAAGACTTTGCAGTCACTTTTGTATCTATATACAAAAAAGCGGATCATAAAATACTATCTCTTGTCTTAGTCGTTTACCCTCCATTTTAAGGGGAAAAAAAAGAAACATAAATCATTGACCATAATTTTTCCCAACCAGGTGAACTTTCTTTGTGAACCCTCCCTCAACTACCTCTATAAAGGGAAACATCTAGTCACTAAAACCAGATAGTACACCTGGTCCGCATCCTCCATCAACCAGGTGTACTCTCTTTTGTGAACCCTCCATCAACCATTTCTAAAAAAGGAAACACCGGAAGTCACTAATATTAGAGGGTTGACACTACTGGCATCTTATGACCTGATAAAATAAAGTAATAAAATCAATGTCACATCTAGCAAACATGGATGTCAGAAAAGTATCAAGCTTTGGGTGGTCTGTCATCTGTGCTTCATATCTACCAGAATTAAATATGTACGTTCCAAATAGCTCAGATAACAATATTTTTGTGAGATTATAAGAAAAGTTATTAGATGGTAAACTATCTGCATAGTTAAACTGAAAATCCATACCAATGACTTCAAATGAAGTTCCCAACCACCAACTTCCTTGTGAGATCCAGTTGCCAAAAGGGCACCCTTATTAAATAATTTCCTTGGAACCACATTCAAGATACTGCCTCCTTCATCAGCCAAATAGAAGAAAAGGTGTGCATTGGTCAATTCGGCTTCCTCCAAACTTAACCTGCAAAGGGACCAAAAGAATACAAATAATTGCATGATTAGAAATAAATCAAGTCTTCTGATCTTGTATTGAATACGAGACAACACTAATGGAAATGCATAAACAACTTAAGACATTGGTACCAGATAAATATTCCAGTTTAATATATGTATCATAGTATCATACACGTCTAACTTCTAAAGTAGTAAACTTCTATCCAACAAACTGAAAATAAGAGAATCTTGCAATATAGATGATTCCATATTTGTCAGATATTGTTATTAAAGAAAAAGAAAAAAAGGTTAAATAACTGTAAACGATTGGAAATATCAAGCAGGAAAGAAACTAAATAGAAAATGAGTCCGCTATTGAGCTAAGATCTAACTGGACTTTCTTCCTTTTAAGTTACCAATATATTACCTTATTTTTTAAAGGTTATCTGTCTGGACTAGAAAAATTAGTACTGATACATGATAATTCAAAAAACTAAAAGGAACCACCCTACTTGTTGATCTTGAACAGGACAAATAAAACTTTAAAGCGACCACAACAATAAACAAGAAAACCATAAACCTCCGAAATCATTCACTGAAATAAACATCCTTCCCTTTCAAAATTTATCTAATTGTACTAGACCAAACATCTAATTGAAACTTTTTTTGATTGGATATAGAGAGGAATCAAAATTTATATTTTGAAGGAAACATTTCAAAATCTACCTTCTGACCCTAACTTCAGAAATCAGTCAGTGAAATAGACATCCTTCACCCTCAAAAGTTATCTTGCAGTATGCCATAAGCATATAATACATGAATGCAGATACATAAACATATACAGTAAGCAATAAATTTATTCAGACATGCAATGTTACATTAAACGTTGGGCGCTTCTAGGCGTCGGACTTGGCGTCCAACGCTTAGTCACTTAGGCGGGCGCCTAAGCGGTTTCTGGGCGTTTTTTTTAAAAAAATTTTTAACTATGATACTTGAAGATAAATATATATATACTCAATCAAAGATGCATAAATACTAAAATACTAACACTATTAACTAAATTGTTTGGTTTACCAATTACAATAGCTCTTTATATGTTTATACTTCTCAACTCAAATTATGAGTTCATTTCAACGGTGAAAAACTCATTCTCAACTAAAATTATGGTTAAATTATAAGTTAATGTTAAGTTTAAGTTAACAATAAACTTAAACTTAAGTTTATTGTTACTTAAATTTACTGTTTACTTAAACTTAAGTTTACCATCAACAAAAAACTTAATATTAACTTAAACTTAAACTTAAACTTAAACTTAAGTTTATTGTTAGCTTAAACTTAAGTTTAAGTTAAACTTAAACTTAAACTTAAGTTTACTGTTAACTTACATTTCTTAAGTTTAAGTTACTATTGTTAACAAACTTAAATAGATATTTAAGAAGTCTCTTTACCTTATTAGTAGTTACAGAAGACACTAGGCAGACTAGACGTTTGAGCAAACACCTAACACCTAGACCCCTAGGCATACGCCTATGCAGCGCCTAGGCGTTTGACTATTTTTAAACTATTTAATTATAATAATTGATAAAAATATGTATTAAATTCATATAAATTTTTAAAAAAAGATAGCAATCTTAGTTCCACAATAAATCATGCATACTTAGATACTAAATAGCCAAAACAATAAGTAACAAGGCTAAAGCCTAAGATGTTTTTTTTTAATTTTTAATTACAATAATTGATAGTGAATGTCAATGTTATAGAAAACTTAGATGCCGGACTGGTGTCTAGACGAATTTTTTTCTTCATTTAAGTGGTGATCGATGAGGTTTTGCTGAAGGTCAGAGGAGATAGTGGAGGTGTTCATATTTAGAGGTTAATGGAGTTTGGAGGACGTGTAGGCTACAACACATAAAATCACAACCAATGCCTATAGGGTGCAATCCACATAAGCAGACAATACTCCCCTAAACGCTCGTAAAATCTAGGTAGGCAGCCTAAATACCGCCTAGACGCTAGGCGCTAGTTAGGCGGTCTAGGTACCGCTTAGGTCTAGACGTACGCTTAGGTCTAGACGTACGCCTAAGCGGACTAGGCGGAGGTTTTTTAAAACAGTGCAGACATGTATTCAATTATATAATACATGTTCTGAATCACTCGTCATACACTTCATGGACGAATATCTTACACTTCAGATTCACTTCCTAAAACTTGATGGACACAGACCGGACTCATTTCAGCCTATCAGACGCATGCTTTTTAGGGTCATTTAGATATCTAATTGAAAAACGAGTTGTTTTCCAATTTATAATCTACATAAAAAAGATTCAAAGAAACATAAAATGTTAAAGGAAATCTAATTCTCATAACATGTGAATAAAAACCAATATTGATCTTTGTAAATTATTAATTTCAGTATCCTGCACCCGTGAAACACAGAAAAAGATACATCATGAGTCCTTGAAGGATACAGTGTAGTTATTAGTCATCTGTGGTTCACACTGTCTTAGTGAATGTCCAGAAAGCTTAGATAAAATCATTAACAGAGTAGGAACTACACAGCATTCATAATGAATTCATGTTAGTTCTTTCTTTTCGTGAGTTTATGACATAGGAAGATCTTTGTTGTAGCTTAAATAGATGGTCCTTGACTCATTCACATTGGAGGAAAACTTAAGTGGGACAAAAAACTAAAATTCAAGAGCAAGTCATGTCAAATGGAAAATAAATAGCAATTTGAATCTAGTAAGTAGTAAATCCATAAAAATATATAAAGTCAATGGCAGATGGATATAGCTTACTTTTCATTTTGCACATTGATTCTAACAGCCCAGTCCCCTCCATAGCCGCTCCCATGTCCCTTCTCTTTTAAGAAACTTGTTGTCAAGGACAATCCTTGATCAACTATCTTTTGACGCCCATAATCTCGTCCATTGTGATCTGTCCACCCATATGTGCTGAAACCATCGGAATCTTGGCAAACATGACGAAGAAAATACTGCCCGTCTTTTATACCAATCCACATCAATCCAGCGATTAGTGATTTTGGTGTCCTATCCAATAGCAAAAAATCACCAGTGAGACATAAACCAACGAAAAAAGATAAGTTGTGTAATTTGATCCAAAAAAGAAGTTGATGAACTTGTGCTGAATTTCTCCGGAACATGAAAAGAAAACTATATCTGGCTAATATGGGGGTAAAAGGCCTATGCTCACTTAACCAAGTCGTGCATGAAATCAAGTTCAGGTTTTTTCAACACAATTAGATTGGTGTACTCAATTCCTTGCAAGGTTTTAAATATCGGTTATCGGGGATTTATCGGACGGCCAAAATCCTTATTGGATAGCGAAAATCGAGGATATATCGGGGATAAGTAGTATTTATCGGAGTGATATACTGGATGATGTGTATATATAATATAACAATTAAAAAATGTAATCTAATCATGCTTAATGAAATATAAACATACCAAAATATAAATCATCATGTTTAGAATCATTAACCAATTGTAGAAAGCGAAACTTGCATCATAGCTTTGAAAAAAATATAATGTTAGTCAAAATGGGCCGATAATCCCGATAATCCCGATAAAAAAGTCTTACTTATCGGCCGATAAGTGCCGATAACGCCGATAAATCGCCGATAAACCTAGAAAAACGATAACCGATTAAAAATCCAATTTATCCTAGCGGAGAGCTCCCAAATCCGATAACTCGGCCGATAATATCGATTATCGGCCGATATTTAAAACAGTGATTCCTTGACAATTTCAAAACCATATCTAAAACCCAAATTCAGCTTGAGCAATTGCAAGCCAACATAAATTCCACATAAGCTGCTTATTCGGTTTTCACTGTCGGCTATGAACTGACTATTAAAGTCAAAGTTAAAGCTAGCAGGACAATACCAACTTATTCCCCGGGGGTAGCTAAGCAACTAAATAAATATTGAGTGTAATAACTATGAAACCCATTACTTCTGGTAATTTTCAAGCTCAGTTCCATTATCATAACGGGGAATCTACTATAGAACTAACAAAAATCACAATTTTGTTAATGAATATTACCTGGAGGTTATGCAATGCTTCACATAAGTAAGCAACAGATATCTCCTTGCAGCATTGGTTAAATAATAATGATAATAGTATAGTTTCTACCTTGTGGTTATCCCACATTCAGCTAGCTTGGACAATATAAAATTCTCATAAATTCTCATAAATTAAACAACAAGAAGAAGAAAGCTTTGATCCTTTCAAATTGGCTGTATGAATCACTATGATATCATTCCTAACCCCTTCCACCCACAGTTTGTTTTGGCCAAGCTCAAGTCCTTATTGCTTCATTTAGTGCAGTTCAATCATTTAGCCTGACCAAGCGCACTTATCATCATTTATTGGAAATTCCCCAACCATCCACGCAATTCTACCTCACTTTTCTTGATACAAATAACATGTTACTTCTTATGGATACACATGTTCCTTATCATATTTTCTAGTGTAGCATGTATTCTCATTTTCCTATAAGTTTCCCCCTTAAATAGGTGTGAAAGTTACTAAAAGATATTATTAAAAAATTCAGTTGCTATTTGCCTTCAGTTAAACATGATTTCGAAGATCTTTTAAGAGTAATAAAATATTTTCCAATATTCACCCAACCATCCACCCAATTCTCCCCCACTTTTAAAATACAAGCAACATGCAACTCCTTATGGATACACATATTTCTTGTCATGCATTATAGTGTATCATGTGGTCTTATTTTTATATAGTTTTCCCTTTTTAGATAAGAGTGAAAGTTGATAAAAAAATATTATCAAATAATGTGGTAGCCACTTGTCTACTTATTTAGTTAAATTAGATTTCGAAGATCATTTAAGAGAAATCAAAGATTTCCCAATATTCATAGATTTATTAAATCAAATATGAGCATTTTACATATTTCATTGTTTACTGTTTATTGTACATTGATTCCTCAGATTTATAAGATCATAAAATTTACTACCATTTCTCTCTGGTCTAGCTTTTAAATAGATCTTGAAAGACGAGTCTCAATCTCTAGTTGTGTCCATCTATCTATGAATCTATCTCTCGATGAGTGATTGTCAAATAGAACATTATAACCAGATATTCAAATTAGAGATTTATGCATCATATATAAAGAAACATTTTCCATATATGAATTTAAATTAAATATCCATATTTACAAATTTACATCATGTGATTTTCTAGTTATCTAATAGAAAATGGTAAGTATAATGAGAATTTTGTCCCTAAATCTGATAATTTAATTACTCTTGGATCCGCAAGTTGATTCCATATTTCTTAGTAGGTTTGAGAACTCAGGTTGATATACACATTTATAATAGACCTCTAAGTGGACCTTGTAGGATACAAAATGAATTTGATTGCCAATCCCTACTGTAGAAGAATTTCTCCAGTCAACTATCTTGACTTCATTTTAATTATAAACTATATCATCCTTGATGTTATTATCTCGGTGGAAAATTTAACCTGCACGGGTTAATGCCAATTGAGGTTTTCTTGATCATCGAGATGCTGCGTAAGCAATATATGCTCCTTCCTTACTTCTTTTTCTGGGCCAAAGATACAATTTATATAGTCCTTTTACAAGCTTTCAGTTCAATTTTCCAAAGGCTTTGAATTCCAAAGTTTCTCTTTAGGGCATGTTTGTTTCGAGTAGGAAACCCCAAAAAATCAAAAAACACCCCTAACACACGGAAAACGATCAGTTTTCTCCAAATTGTTTCCTATTCCTAAGTTTGGCTTCGCTTGGAAAGGGGTCTTTGGGATTCTTGATATGTCACATTACATCACCCTTCTAAAGAAACCTGGATGAAAAGCTATTATTTTCGCAATTAAATAATTAGATTGAGAGCTTTTGTTTGGCTTTCTTCATTATGGTTTCCTATTTTTTGATTATCAACCAGCAAATTCTATGACAAACAATTTATCTCCATTTATCACGGCTAAAACAAACAAAAAAATATCATTTTCTAAGAAAAACTTGGAAACTCATGGAAATACATTTCTGGACCAGGAAATGATCTCCTACTATTTCAAGAAAATAACCAAACAGGTCCTCACTTTTTATTCTTGGAAATTATTTCTTCTAGGCTCATTTTCTAATCAGATATCACCTGCAAACTATATGCACCATGAAACATCCTAACTGTGCCTAATCAGTTCTTCCGTACCTAATTAATAGAGATAACATATAAGGTTAAATCTTTGGGTAAAACCTTATATCATATTGATTCAGAACGGCTCTTCTTGAGCTTTCATCGTCCATATGTAAGACAAAAAATAGAAATAATGGATTTATCACTAGAAAGTTAGAAATATGTAAAATGTGCTTTATACTACAGCTGTACCGTATGGTAAATATAGTCATTTAAACCTTTTCCTCTTCTACTGAAAGGTCAAACTTGCATCTTATCGGAATTCTTATTAAACATGACTCTTGTCAAGTGGCCACATGCCCATGTCTAAAATTTTATACTTTCAGCAAGTGCTCAACATTATAGTAGCAAATTTAAGAAAATGGTGAATTATCACTAAAGAAAAATGTGTATCTACTCACTAGATGACTTATCTGTTGGATATCATGTCCACAAGATTTAGTTTTGATGATAACAATTTATTCACTACGTGTATTATTATGCACTAACTACAGATATCAACTTCAAATAAGCTCATGATATGTGAACAAAAGTACAAGATGAGCTCAAGGCAATATGAAGTAAAGAAGATGAAGTGCTTAAACATATACAATGTAAATTTTACATTTTTTTTACTTAGAATTATTGTACAAGCCTTGATCACTCACAACATATACACACACATAATGTTTAGAACACACTAACACATGATTAGAGCAAGTGCAGCAAGCTCCCAGTTGGGAGTCCTAGTCAGCAAGCTCTCAAGAGCTCTCAAGCATTTTAGAATAAAAAATTAAAAAAGTAAGCCTTGGGAGATACTCCTTCTTTTATGGAGCTCCAACAAGCTCCTAGTTAGGAGCTCCAACAATATCAAAAAAATCCCTCTTCTATTTTAATATTTTACCCATTACTTTCAATTATATTTAAACCTCTTGTATTTTATTTCTAACTGTTGTAATTTATAGAGTTTTTCTTACTGTTCAACGGTTATTTTTTCACATAACGGTAGTATTTTTCACTCAACGGACATTTAACAGGCATTTTTACCACTGTTCAATTGCGGATGTGAAACCCAAATAAAACTCAACCCAGCAAATTAAAAAAACTCTGGCTCATCTTCCCCAAATCATCTTCGTCATCGCCCATTCTTTTCTTCCCCAACTCATCTTCGTTTCCCCAAATCACCAAATCCTCTTCGTTTCACCAACTCCATCAGCGCCCCTTCTTCTTCGTTTCCAACCCCGAACACCAACACCGTCTCCAACACCGCGGATCTCTGGCTCCCCAACCCCGAACACCAACACCGCATCCTCCGCCGCCGCCGATCGGAGCCGTCTTGAATGAAGACCATCTGCTGAAGTCCGCCGCCGCCGATCGGATCGATTTGAGACGAAAAGGTATGATTTTTGCTTCAATTTTGGGCTGATCTGCGAAGGTGAAAGATTGTTGGGGGGATTTTTGTTAAACTCCGGCCAGTTGGGAGCTCCCAAGCGCTCCACAAATTTGTGGAGCGCTTGGGAGCTCGGAAGCTCCCCAAAGCCAGGTCAGCACCGCAAGCGCTTAGGAGAGGGGCTTGGGAGGGGATAGGAGCTTGCTGGAGGGGGGGCTGCCAACATCCACGGCCACGTCAGCCTTGAGAGCCTCCTTCAGAGCTTGCTGCCCTTGCTCTTAGTGTGTTGGTTAACAATAGAAATCCTATATGTTAACCATTAGAGTTTATAGTTAAATAATGAGTCTCAAAATACTTCACTTATATCATTTTTACCCCTTAGTAGTCGACCAATAAGATTTGTAGTCGACTACATGCACACTGATCAAAATATTAAGTTTCTGTCAAATAACAGTATAGTCAACTACTATACAGTGTAGTTGACT